TTTTTTTAGTTAATTACAAATTTTCTATTCTTCTTTTTGTTTAAGTATCCTGAAAATGAAGTATATGAATAGGAGTTTTTGATGCTGAACATCAAAGTACTACTGAGAGATGTTTTCTTATTATTTTTTTTATTTTCCTTCAAATTGACTAGTTTTTTTTTCTTTTTTTATTCTAATAAAGATTGTCACATGGAATTGCTCAACTTCTCTATTTTCTCTTTTTTTTGTTGGTTAGTGGAACGAGAAAAGTTTTATTTCTTCATCTAATTTTGTTTTTAATAGAAATTAATCAATAAAAGAAGAACTATTTCAATCTAATTCCATTCGTTTAACGAAAAAGAAAAGTATTGAAAGATGTCAATTTCAATGGATCAAGATAGTATTTATCCATTATATTTTACTCTTGCTGGTGTTTTTATTCTCTTCGTTTTATTCATTTCAATCGTCGTTTTTGTCGATATTACAATACCATGGATGAGACAACGACTTAATAATCAAGGTCGGGATGATAATAATTAAAGACTTACTTCGTTAAATTACAAATGGATTTAAAGTTTATTTTCGTTCTAGAAATGAACTAAAAGTTTGAAATATTATGAAATTATTTATTTAAATATATAAAAAAAAGATTGAGCGGAATCTCTTCTTGTAATTTAATGTTCTTTTCGTATATTTTAAAGATTTAATATCTAATGAAAGCTTTTTAATGACGTTAGAAAGAAAAAGAAGGAGTGTTGAGTAAATTAAATAGATATTAAGAAAAGAGTTTTAGATGAGAAATGACGGAAATAACATCATTAATAATACAAAGACTTTTCAATAAACGACGGAAATTTTCAAGTAAAACTCATCTTTCATTTTAATTACAATTCTTTTTCTTCCAATCAAATTTTGTTTTTACAAATTTGAAATTTGAAATATTTATATAGCAACATTGGACATTTTTTATTTTTACGCAGTATTATCATATTTCCCTAGGATAATTTTCTTTCAGAGACTCGAGATTCTTCTCTTCTCTAACATTTTCAAATGTACTTTTTTCCTATATAAATATAGCTGCTGCTTATGTTCTCTTTAATTAGATTTTCTGTCAATGACACTGTGTTCATTTAGTGGAAAGTCATAGTGATGAGAAAGTAATTACTCATCATAAATCTCATTTCAATTCTCATAGAACACAGTTTAAGCCAAGTCTATATACAAAATAATTTTATCAAGATCATTTCAAACTGATCTTAGATTAAAATTTAACTATTTTATTATGTTTTAAAAATATAGAAAATTAATTCTAATATCGATGTCATCATGCATATCATTACTTTTTTATTCATTTATTAAATGAACGTATACTTTTAAATAGAGTTTGTTTCTCATCAGAAGAAAAGAGTAATAAACTATTATTTTGCATTCTATATTAACTCTCAAATAGAAAATTCATACGAGAGTTTTTCGAAATACTTTAAAATACTAAAACAATATGAAATTATCTCAAGCACCAATGGATACCACAATCTCATTCATAGATTTATTTTGCCAAATGAATAGTTATTTTTCAGCGAGATACTCGCTATTTATATTATAGTCACACCCACACACCATTTAGAAAAAAAAATAGAATATTTCGACTACTACCATTAGATAAGCCTAAGTACATAGATATAAGAATTCCGATAAATATGAATAAAATAACCATGAAAAAAACTTTTCCCCAATAATAAAATTCATATAATATAATTATCATTTATTTGAAAAAAATTGATGAAAACCATTTGTCGAATAATTTAAGAATAAAAGAAGCTTATATAGTCCTCTATTCCGATGAAATTTTGATTTATTGTAGAGTCAAAGAAAAGAATAATATGAATTTATTCTTTTCGTTCTCGAAATAACATATTCGATGACTAAGAAAAGAAAGAAAAACAAAATAAATATTTTTTGTCTATTCTTTATCATTTCAATATTAAGATAAAAAAAAACGATAAATGACTAGTTCTACAGCAACAAGCAAATGCTTATGTGGTCAAATAACTGTTTCAGTTCCACAAGCTGCACTTAATAAAACTGATTGTATTGGTTTATGTTATTGTAAAAATTGTCGTCAAAGTGGTGGTTGTTTAGCGGCATACAATCTTTATTTACCAGAAAAAGACGTTACAATAGATGGTCAACCAAAAATATATGAAGATAAAAATACAGATAGTGGAACAACACTACAACGTGCATTTTGTGATAATTGTGGTTCACCAATCTATCTGAAAAATCCAAAGTTTGCTGGTGCTATTTCTATAAGATTGGGTGGATTTGATGAATTACCCAAACCTGGTATGGAACTCTATGGTAAAGACCGTCCAAATTGGTTTAAACAAATTGATGGTGTAAAAGAAAATGAAACTATGCCAGCAATGACAGAAGATTGGAAAGATTGGTTTCGAAAAACTGGTGTATCAATATAATTTGACTTAACAAGTTTTAGTTAGAATTTTCTCTTCACTTTTTAGATAACAAGATTAATTACCATCTACTCTTTCTTCTTCTAATAGATATACTGTTAATCATCATTATTACTTTGTATTTCTTATTTATCTAGCTGACAGTTTTTTTGTGGCAAATACGAATAAAATAACCACGAAAAAAAGAATATTTATTAATAATAAAATTCATATAATATAATTATCATTTATTTGAAAAAAATTCATCAAACCATTTTTCGAATAATTTGAGAATAAAATAAGCTTACAAAATACTCCTTTAACTAATATAAAGAGACAATATTGGAATATTTCTTTTTCTATATTCTACAAAATGAAAATAATCTCCTATCCCGATGCAATTTTGATTTATTTCGAAGGTAAAATGTGTAGTCTTGTGAGATAACATATTTACATACACTCTCAATAATAATATCGAAATATGTGATAGTAGTGAACTCTATTAACATTTGATTTATTATAGAGTTAAAGAAAAGAAAGAGAAAGAAAATAACTTTACACGAACAGTAATACGTTATGTGTACACATTAGTTAACGGCAGAACGAAAAACAAAATAAATATAAAATAAATATTCTTTATCTATTCTTTATCATTTCAGTATTAAGAGATAAAAAAGAAGGATGACTAGTTCTACAGTAACAAGTAAATGTTTATGTGGTCAAATAAGTGTTTCTGTTCCACAAGCTGCACTTAATAGAACTGAATGTGTTGGTTTATGTTATTGTAAAAATTGTCGTCAAAGTAGTGGTGGTTTAGCATCATATAATCTTTATTTACCAGAAAAAGATGTTACAATACAAGGTCAACCTAAAATATATGAAGATAAAAATACAGATAGTGGAACAAAAATACAACGTGCATTTTGTGGCAATTGTGGTTCACCAATCTATGGAAAAAATCCAGGATTTGTTGGTCTCATGGCTGTAAGATTGGGCATGTTCGATGAATTACCTAAGCCTGGTATGGCACTCTATTGTAAAAGACGTCCAGATTGGGTTAAATCAGTTGATGGTATGCAAGAAAATGAAATTATGCCAACAATGACAGAAGATTTTAAAGTTTGGTTACGAACAATTGGTGTATCAATATAATTTGACTTCACAAGTTTTAGTTACAACTTTCTCTTCACTTTTTAGACAACAACAGGATTAACATCTACTCTTTTCTTTTTCTAGTAGATATTGTGTTAATCATCATTTTTACTTTGTATTTCTTCTTTATTTCGATAAAAGGTTTCTCTTTTCTCATAATATACTATCAATCTTATTCATAAAGATATTTAATAGAATCAGTAACAGTGAAAATTCTCATCTTATTCAATGAAAATTCATTAGGAATTCTAGTTTCGAGAATGTGGAATCTGATATGCATAGAAAAGAACCATTTGAATAGGTTAATTCTCATAATAGTTGATTTCAATTTACTTTTAATTTATAACATATTATATCGATCATTAGTTATTTAATTTGAGTTGAAAATAGAAATTCATTGAAAAGTTCAACAGCAGCCGTTATCTCCTTACTTTATATAATCTTTAAATACTTCATCATGAGATAATTTTCATTTCAGACTCTTTTCATATGAATAACGACGTAGGAAAAGAGATTATCCCGGTTAAGATATCCACAATCCTCATACCCATATAAACCTTTGACTATATCTTAATAGTATGTATTTCTTTTGAGAATATTCTATATGACATATAGAAACAACATCGGGAACACGTGAAAAAAAAATGTAATGTTGTTATTAAAATCATTATAATATAAGTTTTAAAAAAAAAAGAATTTTTTTCTCTTTTCTATTTCTATTGAAATTTTATAGAGAATGTTAACTATGAATTAGAACAATTGGTTTGTTATTTAATGTTTTCACTCTCTATATATTACAATTTTTATCGATTTAACTGAAAACTATAGAGAAAAACTAACTGAAAGTGGCTTTCGTCATCGAATAATAAACATTACGAGTAATAAAATACCTGAACGTATTAGAATTCTGTAAACGTTTTTTCTAGTACTGTTATAATTGAACGAAAATTTCTGTTCTTTCGTAAGAAGAAACGTGGAAATAATTTAACAAATCTTGATGTAATTAATTTTAAAACCGTTAATAAATCACGAATTAATCCAACAACTGTTATCATTATATAAATCGCGTCATTTCGAGATTCATATGTAGAAGTACATTTTGCTGGTCGACATTCTCTAGAATAATTTTCATATATAGTAAATAAATTGAGTTGTTCAATGATTAAATTATCAATAAAACCATTGATTGTTATATTAATATTCATATTAATATTTTCCTTAATCTACAACGTTTTTTTTAATTTCTAGATAAATATGCATCGAATATTTGTATTTATTAGAAGAATCTTTGAAATTATTCAAGTAAATCTATTATCTTAGATTGATATAGAAAAAAATTTCTTTATTTATATATTTCTAGAAAAATATTATGTACTCTTTTATTTTTTAATTATTTCGATTTTCAATAATAGATTTTTTTTCTAAATTTTATTTTAAAGAAAAAGTTTTACAATTTCAAAAGAAATATTTTTCTAGAACTTTTACCTCTATCTATTTAGTTTTTCTAATATTCATTAATTAATACACTGTACAAATTATATTATATTATATAAATGTTTCTCTCTTTCTCTCTTTGTATATATACTCGTGAAATACTGCTGTGTAGAACAATAACATATATATATATGTGTGTTAGAACGGAATTTGTTCGTTTAATTTATATTTAAATGACAAATTTTATTTTATTCTATGATAACTCATATTTTATACATTTTAGACTATTGAATTTTCTTTCTTTCCCAAAGTCATGTTCATGCATTTTGAAACTAAGAATAGTACAATATAATTAATCATAGAATAATCGACTAACTGAATATATGATTTGATTAGTTTCAAAGAATGTGCACTCTTGAGTTACAAAAATCTTTTTTGTCTCTAAATACTAAAGTTAAGAGTCATTCTGTTATATTAACTATAGAAGTTTTTCTATCGATTGATATTTTTCATTGTATTGTACAATTTCTAATTGATTGAACTTGATGCTTTGTAAATAAATGAGTATAGAATTAGAAAAAACAATAGTTGACATTATCGTTAAGTTTTATTGAACATAATTAAGATTATATTTGAAGTAATGTGTACCGCAAAATTTCTAATCAATTGTCGATAAATTTCTAATGAATTTTTCCAAGATTTCTAGTACAATTAGTCATAGTAAAAACAAAAACGAAATACATGATTTTATTCTATTATAAATGAACAAAAAAAGTGTATGATTTGAAAATATACATAACTATTTATGTCAACAATGATAATGTATAAGAAGTGAAAAAAAAGGATGAAAGATAAAGAATATTCTTTTCTTTCTTGATCTAGGTTAAAACATAAATTCTATTGATTTCTTTTTGTTCTCTATTAAAGTTATTGATTGCACACGTCTTTTTTCTTTGTTTTTCTTCTCAATGATGCAGCTGTACTGTGTAGAGTCGTTCACAGAAATTTTCTTCCTATGTCGATTATGTGATTACATCCACACAAATATACATTATTCTACTTTAATTTTTTGCATTTTTCATCTTTTATACATTTTTCAACTATAAATACACGATATAAACTATATTCAAATTGTCAACAAACAATTAATAATATTTTTTTTTAACATGTATGTTTATTGTGCCATATTCTGGTTCATATTATAAAAGAAAAGATACAACAACAAAAAAATCAGCTATATATAAGATAGAGAGAAGAATAGATAAGTTGGATATACTAAAGAGAAAAGATTACCTTTTTCGACTAAAGTTATAGTGTATATTTATAAATAGAAAATATCAAGAAATAGAGACCTTTATTTCTACATCATATTATTCATTTAAAATTTAAACAAGGTAGAGATTAGGATACTAAGAAGAAATATTTATAGATAAATAAATTTAAATAAAACGTTAACCTCTTAAATGTCTCATGTTGTAGTTTATGAATCTTTTCAAAATGTAACCAGTCATTTTTTACTGTGTTTTGAAACAATTAATAATAATGTCTACATTAAATGCAACAAATTTATATGAAGAAATTGATCAAACTGATAACAATCACCAATAGGATCATGACAATGTTAGTAACAAGAGCAAAATCAAAAAGCTAATCAAAATGGAAATAATCAGCAGAATAAACAAGATGATCGAAATGGTATTAGTCAACAACAACAATTAGAACAAGCTAATCATTATACAAATAACAACCACCAACAATAACATAAAAATGCTGATCATAGTACCATAGATCAAAAACAAACTAAAAAACGTGGTCAAAATGCTACTTATCAGAAACAACAACAACAGTAAGTTGGTCAAAATAATTATAATCAACAAGCTAATCGATCTACTAACAATGTTCAGAATCAGCAACAGCAACAGCAACAGCAACATCGTCGATCAGGTTGTGCTCTACAATGTCAACATTACGTTAAATTTGTGCGTTAAACATAAACTTTCTTCTTCTTTTCGTTTGATGTTGAATATTCATGTATATATTTTATTTTATTGAGTTCGTGCATAGTTTTTAGAAATTTGAATGTGAATATTGAAATAAAATAATTACCTTCCAAAAATAATTTGTTTTAAAATAAAAAATAAAATATTTTCTATTTCAAAAAAATGTTCGAAGTAGAAATTGATATGAAATAATGAATATTATTTGTATTTTATTTTAATTTAAGAAATTTTCTCTTTCTATAAATCCTATTGAATATTAGATATTAATTTCTTTTTTTATTGTTCTATTATAGTCATGAGAACAATTTCATATTTTCTTTTATGAATTCATATAATTTACTTTGACTTTCAAATGATATTGTACATATATACATGTTAATGAGAGTCAATTCTAATGATAATTTTGAATTTGATCTCAATAAAATGATGTGTAATGAAATGATGAGTTTCTCAATTTTATTCTGAAGACAATTTTCTATACTTTTTTTGAAAATAATATGAATAAAATATTAAATTTCTAGTGAAAACTAAATTCTTTTTTTTAAATATTAATAATTTAGTAATTATGATATTTATTGAATAAATATTTAAGAAATCCAATAACAAAAATAATTCCTTTAATTTTCATAGTTTCTTACGTTCTGCATGAACATAAAGATAAATGGTTCAATCTTTCTCTTCTCTCTGATGTTTTATCTTTCGAATTCGTTGTGTTTAAATTCCATTATTATTATTTCAAAATATAAAATAAATGTGAAAACTTTCACTTAATTTTAAAATAACCACGTGCAATAGAATAAATTTTATTTGCAAATTCTAATATTTCTGTAACTTTTTCTAAATCTATTAGCTCCTTCATCCAAAGAAGAAAGATAAGAGAAGAGGAACAACCTTCTGGCAAATATCATATTGTTCTTCTCCAACAAAATTAACGACACAATTTATATATTTGTTCCCAGTTGTTTGTCTAAATAATGAAACAATATAATTGAATTAGTAATTATTTTTTTCTTACTTAATTGTTGTTTTAAATCTTCATATAATTCTGTGGTAATCTTAATCTTTTCATTGATACTATATATATTGATATTAACTGATAATAAATCTTAGCCTATGTCATGTATTTCATCTTTAGTTTTGCTTTCGAATAGTTTCACCTCGCATTTCTTTTTTGAATAGTCCAATTGATTCTTTCCATGCATGCAAGCTAACAACTTATCGATGGTCTTAGTAATCTATAAATAATAGAAAAGAAATTACACGTAATCATCAACTTTCTTCTTACTTGTTTGATAATATTTTTAAATTCGACATTGTGGTTATTCGATGCCATTTTTTATTAAAATCTTTTTTCCAAATAAAAAAAGTAAAAGCAGTATTTCCGTTGAACGGATCCGATGACTGGATTTACCAGGTTTGGGCCGAAATCGACAGGAACATGTCAAAGCGGGCAGCCGGATACGGTTACCTTACTTCTCCATCGGATACCTGGCATTTTTCGGGCGGGTTCTGTCCTGAAATGCCGAGTTTCCTCAGGAACTTGGCCGAAAATTCATGGAATCCTGCTACAGAAATGAATGACGTTTGTGTAATTCATTTAGTTTCTTTTTGTAACTTTTTTTAAGTCAAAAGAAAAAAATTATGTATTTGTTCCCATTTGTTCATCTAAAGAATGAAAAAATATAATTAAAATCTAAACTAGTAATTGTTTTTTTCTTACTTAATTGCTTTTTTAATTCGTCATATAAATCTGACGCTATTTCGATTTTTTCGTTAATATTAAAAATATCAATGTAAATTGATGCTATGTCTTGGCTTAACTGTCTTATTTCAACGTCGTTTTTACTTTGAATCAATTTTAATTCGCTTTGTTTTTTTAAACATTCAAATTGATTCTTTTGATGTAGCTCAACAAATAATTTATCTATTGTATCTATTAACTATAAATAACAAAGCGGAATTCACACGAGATGTCGACTTTTTTCTTACCTGATCAAATAAGTTTTTCAAAAGTAAACTAGCTTCACTGTTTGCCATTTAAAGAAGGAAAATAATTTTTATTTATTGATCGAATGTCGTTATTGATTTGCTTTGTTTCTTTGTCGATTATATAATTGCATAACTTGATTTCGTATTGTATTTTCCAACATTGTATTTGTTGTTCCCGATGAACATGTTCGAATAACTTGTCGATAGTGTCAGTGACTTACAGGAAAAGAATAATGATACGTCACCATTGTTTTCTTCTTACTTGATTGTAACTCAAGTGAATTGCAGTTATTAAATCACGATTTATAAACATATTTTCGAAAAGATTATATTGTGTGTACAGATTAACTATTGTAACAAGTAACGCTCGTCCGCGAACTCGCTTAGCTCTTTCTCGTAGAAATGTATCCTCTTCAAATTTACTGGAAAAACAATTGAAAACCTTACTCTTCGTTGTTGTTCTCTACTCTTAGCACATAATCGCATCCTACTTCGTGGTTAGCGCAGATCAAAACATATTAGAGCTGTCGGCACCAGTGGCTTGTCAACCTTGCCTTTAACAAATATGTGAAGTTTTAGTAATCTTATACGCAAGAAAGTCAACAGCTTATGATCGCCACACTCTGTAGTACAAGTAGGGGAACATTTGGATACCCATAAAAATGTATTACCCAAAAACTCGGTTTCTATTAGTCCACGTCACATTTTCTAATCTACCACTGTCCCTTCCCTTAAATAGTCTGAGCAAATGTGGCGTACATTTGAAGTCCCAGCATCGAAATATCTCAAGAAATGTCTTTTCTAGAAAATTGATCTTCGATGTTTTTTGACCCTGCGGACACACAAGCAAGCAAGTGAGCAATCAGACAATTTATGTTTACTGGACTCTTCTCTACGAGAAAGAGAATAAAATACATATTGAAACTAAAATAGAACATTTTGTTTATGATTTATAGCTTTGAAATCAAGTATTTTATAGTTTCAATTTTATAGAAAATCAAATTCGATTTATAATCTCTTATACTATTTAGATGTAATCTCTTATCAAAACTTAATATTTTCTATTTCTTAGAAATCACTTATAAAAGTTTATCACAGATAATTATACAAAGGAAAAAGTTAAATGAAAATAATTATCAAAAAACAAAAGAAACTTATCCAGTATTTAAATATATTCTTAACATAGAAAAGTTTTAAATTAATTAACTGATGAATTTTATCGACAATATAATTGAATGAAATTGATTATTTCATATTCTATATGAAACTGAAATATTTTTATTTCTTCTTGCGAAATACTCATTGCGTATGAATTATGATGACGTAACGCATTGTTATTATTTTTAATAACTTTTTTATATACGTATCTAACAGGGAATAGAAAATTTAAAGCAACAAAATTTCTTCTATATCTCAACAATGAGTACAACTTTTAATCCTAATGAATTCGAAAGCGTTTTATATGTAATAAAATAATGCGTGAAAAATATCTGTCACTTCCATATGACGATATATAAACGTCGAACGTTATTTTTTAATCATAATGTAAAATTAAGATATAATCTTTTAATAATATTAATTGTTTTTCATATATCCTATTCATTTATTGTTGATATAAGATTTCATTATTATAAATGATTAACATTTTTGCAACTATATTTGAATTTCTATAAAAAACACAAAATTAAACTTATAATAAAGGAAAATAATGATAAGCATTTTCTATATAAACTATTGAACGTTCAAGAATTATTCGTTGCACTCGACTACAATTGCGACGTTTTTCAAATCACCATAAATAATTTTTAATTCTGTTAAACAAGGTAAATGTGTTTTTGTATCATTAAGAAAATGTTCAAGATAATAAGGATGAGCATGTTCCAAATCAAGAACAATAAGATGTGAAAATTCAATAATTGAACACCAACCTTTTTCAAGAAGATAACGTTCTTCATAACGCCAATATGGTTGTTGAATATTTGAGATAGATAAATAAATATTTAACATTTGGAAAAGATCTTTGAAGTCGAACGAAAAATTCATGTTTGAATGGATTTTTATCTTTTAATTTCAAATAAATAACAGAATTAAATATAATATTTGGAATATTATTTGAGATTTTATCAAGATACTTAAATTGAGTTGGAAGTGAAAATATTCGATATAATATTGAAGAAGAATCCAAATAATCTATCATACAAGCCACTTGTCCATATTTTTTATTTGTAAATGATTGTTCAATATCACTAATAGATGCAAGAATAGTTGGATCATTAATTCTTTCTTTAGGCTGAATATAAAATATAAATCTATGAAGTTGTTTCATATGAATAAGTAATTTATCATCAAAATCAGTACCAGATTTCAATATGGATCGACCAGATATATGAAGAATTAGAGTTAACTCTTCTAAATGTGACATTCGACGAATAAAAGATAAAACTGTTATATCATATTCATCAGTAACATCGAAACATGTTAATGAAAAACATTTTAAATTAGATAAGGAATCCTGAAAGAAAAAAACGAAGCCATTATTTATAAACTCATCTTTATTATTTTATCTTTTATTAAATATTTATTCTCTACTAAGAATACTAATTTCACATTTATTAAATTCTAACCTATACAAATTAATGAATAATACAGTAAAATCATCTAGTATTGTATTAGAATGAATATTATTTAGATTTTTCAAAGTATTTCATAATATTTATTTTAACATATATAATTAAATTCAATATAATATATATATACATGTATATATGAAGTCAACAGTTTCCTCTTAACATATTTAGTAATTCTGAAGCATTCTTTTCAAATCAATGATCATTATTTATCAAAATCATTTCAAATAATAATAATCTATTTCGAACAATTTTTTCTCATAATTAAAATGAAAATCTTATTACTTATTCATAGAGATATCTTATTATTAATTATCAATACTTCTAATGACATTTCATATTTTCTTTAATATTATTTAAAGAAAAAAAAAGATTATTCAAATTAGCATAAGCTTACCGCACTATAAGACGACGTTGATACCCAATCGTCGATAAATTCAACATGAACGATCAATGTATTTAATTGTATGAGACGACCATCAAGTAAAATATAAACATCATTGAAATTTTTTACATTTAGAGATGATTTCGTAAGTGTTGAAGAAGAAAATATTGTTAATGGTAAATCACATGATGATATTGCTGGATAACATATGATTGGTCCAAATAATCTTTCAGTATATGGTACAACAATATTGAAATACTTCAAATTTTTGAAAAAAGTTAAGATTATTGCATAAACATTCTCGGTATATTCTTTTGCTTCTATATCAATATTATTTTCATTAATGATAAGAGTGAGATCCGTAATTTGTTGTTTAATATTATATTTGAAGAAAGAATCATCTAAATATAGAATAAATTAAATATTGTTAAATATGAGCATATTTCAATAGTTTTTATGTTAATTATTTCTAAAGAATACAGAATATAGAAATATCTTACCAAGAAAACCATGTAAAATAGTTTCTTAATTGAAATTTAAAATTTTAAGTTAAGTAAAATTAGGATAATGACCAGCATTAAGAATATATTTCATATAAATTGATTCAATAGTTAAAGATTTGATTTTTTCATCAATTCTTGGTAATATTGATGTACAAAATCGATTGAGTATTGTTGAAGAAATCTTCTTTTTTGATTGTAATATAGAAGAAAAATTTAAATTATTCGTAAAGATTTCATGTTGTGCTATAATGTTAAGTCGTTGATTATTAATATTTATTAAAGAATAAAGAACATCAACATTATTGAGTTTTTTCAAAATGAGAAATAATATTTCATTTGGAAGATCAACAAGATTAATATTATGATGTTGATTCGTAATTAACTTTAATAGAATATTTTTTCTTTGAACGATACATATATATATACACTTAGAATTCAAACAGACTGAAAAAAGGATTAATCGTCTATTGAACGTACAAAAAAATATCCAATACTTATATATGTATATACACATGTGTACACTTGAAATAGATAAAACGAATTAAACAGTGTGACTAATATCGTCATATGTAAAAATACCACCAATCATATTTTATAATTTATTTTCAATTGAGTCTAGTCTGTTTCTGAGGCAATAGTCGAATGTTTATCTTCACAGGTGAACATTTTTTTCTTTAAATTATTCATTTCTATTTGAATATAATTTCTCTAGTGCGTAATATCATACATAAATATAAAAAGACAACCATTGAGAAAAAAATAAGCAGTATAAGAGTCAAAAGTATTTATGAAAAAGTTGATAGTTGAGAAAAATGGCAAAAAATTAAAATAGTTATAACTATGATTTATTGTCATGCTCGATGAGACATATAAAAATATGCATACTTGTACCGCGTTGTTTAGTTGAGAAAAATAATATTATAACTCATATTGTTGTAATGAAAAATAGAAGTAATGTTACACATGTTTGTTAATATCGTTTAGAAAAGAAATACTTTGTAATGATATTTAAATGATTGATCTTTTTAAAGAATTCACAGCAGTTGTGTATCTATATTATCTAAGTAAATATCCATTTTAACTTCTATATATCTAATTGTTATATTATATGTATAGAAAGTAATCATATGCATATTAAAATGTGGAATAAACATTAATTTATAAAATAATATCAAACTCTACTGACTTCAATTGAGACGAGATGTAGAAGAGAAAAAAACGTTTTGAAATTTTTTATTTTATCTCGTATCGTTTAACATTAACATGAATATTTTATGAAAAAATTGGGTCATATACGAATCTATTCTACTTGATAATGTTCATCTGTATGAAACCATTTTGCTACTATTAGTCATGAATAAAAAAAAAGAATCTTATAAGAAAGAGAGAAATAACATAAATGTATATTGATCAAGTGAAACTTGAAATTATTCTAGAAAAAAAAAATTTTATATTTAGAGAAATTACTCAGTAAACGTACTGCGAGTAGAATATTTATTCATATTTGAACAATAAGAAAACAATACTGATATTGTTGAAAATATGGGTAAAAGTATCGTTTTAATGATTCAATCAAAGAACTATAATAAAAAGAATAACGAATAGATTTGTTCTCTTTCAAAATTCATCTAAAGTAACTCAATTAGATCTATCAATGAGTTAGACTGAAGAAAGTCGTCCTCGAATTATTATATTATATTATAAATACAAGATATTCTGTGAACTTTTCATTCTCCTACATAAACGCAAGTATAGAAATAATTTTATTTTCGACTCACATATTTTGCTATTATCTTTGTTGTTCTTAGAAAGTTTTGAGGATGAATGTGTGAAAGATACATTATTCATATATACACCCTTAAGATGTTCTAACCAGAATTTGATCATTTCTTCTCTTTCAATGAGTAAGATTATGAACAAAATCACTAGTTTTACACTAAAATTAATCCTGTTAACGTCAAGAGATGGCGTGGTTTGTCGCTCAGGTGTTTTTTATTTCTCTCATCCTCTTTGATACGTTTTTTCTCTTACTTATTAATGGCCGACACATTTTTTACGACGGTTTTTTCCAGGTATTTTTTTTAGTAAAAAAAATCGATTTTTATTTTAAAAAATCTATTTAATACAATTTGTATAACTAATAATGATATTACTAATGAGGCTTTTATTTTTTATACTTTAAAATCCAATAAAGTATTCATCAGGTGCTCCAATTATTTGCAAACTTCCAACAACTTCTTGGAGATAGTTTCATCTTTGAAACATCATATTTATATTAATGGATTTATAGTGGATACTAATATTTTGTCAAGGAAGTAACTTTAAATGCATGATGAAAACGTGTAACAGTCTACTATCTACTTCCTAACAATTGGCAAGATTTCATTTTGTGAAAATAGATGACAAAAGAATCTGTTTCTAACTTATTAATATATTAATAACATTTGACTTTATCTTTTATCAATAGTTTCAAAGGAAAAATAATCGATAGGTAAAGAAATCAAAGTTAATTGCATTAACAAATAGTGGTTGTGATAAAAACAGTATTTTGAACAATACTTTTATAATCAAGATTTTATTAGGAAAATAATGATTAGATTTATATATTCAATTTCAGATTTTTCTATTGTATAATTCGTTTGATCAATATAGAAAAATGACGCTCGATGAACAAATACAAGAGGTATAAAACAATTAGTTTATAGAAATAAATTTTGACTAAAACGTAGTAGTTAAATGTTATGCACGAATATTTCGTCATGTATAGGTTACTACTGATATCGACGAAGTCAAACGTCTAATTGATGAAACTAATCGTCCTCGCATAAAACAAAATCTCGAACTTCAACAGCAAAAATTCGAAAAGGAGTTAATTCAATTGCAAGAGAAATTACAGAAACAACAACAACAGGCTACTGATGAAGCAGCCAGCAACAGTGCTGCATCAGCTCGTACCCAATTATATACAAAAGATATATCAGTTTATGGTAAGATAAGAAGATTATGATAACTTCTGTCTATATTCTATTATTGATAATAGCATGGGATCAAACTGATAAATTTATTAAAGTCTATGTTCAAAATCTTGATGGTGTTGGAAATTTACCTGAAAATCAAATTCAATGTTCATTCGAAAAACGGTAAGAATTTTTTTTCAATTTTTTATTCTTTAAAATTGTCTCACATTTAGTGGTTTTCATCTACAAATTCAAAATCTAAAAAATATCAATTATTCTTTGAAAAGAATTCATCTTCTCCATGATATTCAACCAGATCAATCAAATTTTAAAGTCTAGTTTTAATATCAAATTATTTTCTAAGTAATTTTTTATGAATTTAGGTAAAAAAGGATATGGTTATTTTATCTTTACGAAAAATTGAATCAAAAAATTGGGAATGTTTTTTACAAGACGAAAAGAAAACACCGATGAAGTAAGTAACGTCTTTTTTCATCCTTGCAATTATCTCATATTTAATAAAACTAATTTCATTTTCCAATCTAGACCATTACCAAAATTAGATAATACAAAGGATTCAAATGAATCTTTCATGAATATGGTCGAGGAAATGTACGAAAAAGGTGATGATGATACGAAACGAGCCATTGCCAAAGCGTGGGTTCAATCAAAAGAGAAAGCACATGCTGCTGCTACTACTACTAATACACAGAATGATGAATCGATGGATTCTGGAATAATTAAAACACCGGAATTTACATTTTATCCTCCTCCAAAGAAATAATCACAAAAAAAGACATTCAAAATTAGAGATAACATATTTTACTTTTGATTTAAAGATAAGAATTCAAATGCTATTTCTATTTTAAACGAGATTTTGTGATATTTTTTATTCTAGAATAATCAGACATTAATAAATTTTGCTTTTCGTTTTAGATAAATTATCTCATCATCATCATCATCATCATCATCACTCATTTCCTAGTTGCCATTAGAAGAATATCTGATTCTTTTATATCTTATCTATGTTCGAGCACATTTTATAGAGAAAAAAGAAAAAAATCTTCAAACATATAATGAATTATTAATTAACACTCGAAATTATATATTTTGTCTCATTCTGGCTTATTGTCTCAATTGATGGTTTTCAAAACAATCACAAGATAGAAATTATTGAAAGTAAGCTTATTCTATTAGTAAATATAATGTAGAATTGAGCCTTTAAAATTTCTATGTAAAAGATTATCGGATTTGTATTATTGACAATGATTTTGAGTCATCCGCACTATCTATATTACCTTATATGGATATTATAATACAATCTTGTTCTTATATGACTCATAAAGCTAATAGAATGTTGTTGGGTCCTTTTATAATCATTGTTATTGTCTGAAATAGATAGGAGAAAAAAAAAAGGAAATTATGAGTTTTTTATTACATGTCGAATTCGATGCAACGTCAGAATCAACAGCAACAAAGATTCTCGAATGTTTATCTGGTATGGCTGATATTGTTCATCGTGATTATCCAGAAGTATATACATATGTATTTCGATATGCTAATGAAAGTAAAAGAAAACTTATTTTTACTGAAATATATGCCAATGAACAAGTATTTCTTGATCATGGACGTGATCCAGAATTTGGTAAATTTTTACAAATAGGTTTCAATCCTACAACAGGTAAAAGTCGAAAAGAATTATGTATTAGAAATGATATGAATACTCCTTTATCACAATTAACTGCTAGTATACTTGATAATTATTTACATGTTACTTATATTCCTGTTCAACAAGGATTTTTTCATCGAAATTTTAATGAGAAAAGCGAAATGAATCTTCTCATTTTATGTCGTGGATGTGATGAAGATGTTTCTGAACAATTGAATACACTTGTTAATTGTGTTACATCTATTACATTTGAAGAATCGGATGGAAATAGACAACTAATTGCTGTTATCACAAATATTTCAAATGAAAAACAATCGATAAAACATAAGAAATCTTTGATTGATACAATTGAAATAGTTTGTTCGAATGAAGAAACGATCCGAAAATTTAAAAATATTATTGAGAATTATTTTCAAATTCAATCAATTCATATTCAAACAAGTTTTAGTGGTTATATCCGTCATAAATCTTTCTTATAATTATTATTTCAATGCAAAAACAATTCTTTCTTAAAAATTTTATATGAATTTTTTCTTACTGATTAATAAATAAATAACATAATAGTTCAACTACGTGTATGTGTTAGTGTCAGGTTGTGAGTTTATAATGAATACAACAACTACATCCATATCCTCAACGAGGGTGTGGGTGTGAGATTAATGTATCATTTACCATCACACCCATATGCATGATTTTGACTATTTATGTTTTTGAATAGATGTGACTATAGATGAGAAATAAATACACGAAATTCTATTCATACTCATTCATCTATCGATAAATCTTGGTGAAATTTTATTCTTTCTTATATCGATTAAATAAAATGGATATAGTTTGTCGTTGAAATAAATTCAAATCAAAGAATAAAATATTGATAGAATATAAAAAATCTGTCTTTCAATTAGAATTTGAATAATGAAGAAATATTCTTACAAAAAAAAATCTTTTTAAATACTTAATGATTAGAAATTTAAAAATAAGATGCCTCCACGCAGGATCGAACTGCGGACCTCCAGTTTACTAGACTGGCGCTCTACCACTGAGCCATAGAGGCACATTTAATTCTATTCTTTCTTTTAACTAAATATGATTCA